TCACAGAGATCCGCCTGGCTCTGCCTCCCGAGTGCTGGGATTAAAGGCGTGCGCCACCAACGCCCGGCGAGATCTGTTAAAACTCTTGATGGAAAATTATTAAATTTGTTTTCTATAATTGTGGGAAGGCTAATGAATTAGAATATATTAGATAATGAATTTGTATGCATAACCTTTAGGTTCTCACTGTCTCTCAGGCTGGCCTGGAACTGGAACTTGCGATGTCAACTCCACTGGCATGGAACCCATAAAGATCTGCTTGCCTCACTCCTGCCCCTGGGTGCTGGGATTAAGGCAGTGCACCACACGCCTGGCCTTTTTACCCACATTATAATAAAATACCTGTATTGCTTGGTTTAGTTCTGACAAGGATACATACAAATAGTGTTAAAGGATAATTTAAGTGTGGTAAATTTTTGTAAGGTTTGAAAATTAGTTTTATTTCTCAAAAATGTCTGGAATTCCAATACTGAGAGTCAACTAGCTACCCAGATCTTGTCAGGAAGTCAGACAAGATCAGTGTGGAGGAGTGGATGCTTCTGGCCTCTTCCTGCCTCCTCTCCTCACCCTCCCTCTCTCTTCCATGATTTCCCTCTGACACCGTCTATCACTGATCTACTTCAGGAGCTGCCCCAAGCCCAAACACCACTAAACCTTCCTTTAACCCCAGAGCTGGGGAGCAGAGGAGAACTGGACAGTCCTGAGAGATAGCGTGATGACTGCACATAATGGGCAGCCATGATGGGGACTCTAAGTCCTGTACTGGAGTTACGGAAGGTGGCAAAGGACTGGATGGGCTGTACTGGGTCTGTAGCCTCACTCCCTATTTTCTTAGTCTTTGGTGTTCCCTAGCAACAAAAGCAAAGAATCCATTTAGAAAATGCTTTCCAGAACATTCCATCTAGCTACTAGTCAAGCCACTTAAGTTTATGTGATCAAGTGACTGAAATTCAAGGAGATTTGTCATTGGCTGCAAAAGAACTGAAAGAACATGGCTTGATATGTATATTGCTAAAGTCTGAAGTGACGGATTCCACTTCCACCACAAGTAGGCATGGCTTTCAGGATGAATTAGTAGTCTCCACATCTCACTGTGAACTGCCAGTGTTGCTAGGGAAACTGATAATTATGTGGAAAAATGGAGGGTACAGAATAGAAAAGGGTTCAGAAGAAATGTAAGGTTTTGATCCAAATCAGCATGTTAATAGTACAGTTTGTTGATCTTCTGTAGTCAAACAATTTAATAAATACCATTAATTATATGTTTGACAAGACACCGATTTCCAAACTGAAAGGCATGAATAACAGGGAAAAGCTACAGGGTACTGATCAAAGCCTGAGTATACCACAGCAAGACCCTGTATTTAATAAACTACAATTAAACCTCAAACACTCATGAAGGTGAAAATCTCCACACTGGCTCGATTTCTGCGACTTCTCTTTGGACTTCAATCGAATGCCTTTTCCAGGTACAAAAACTGTAGCTGCACTTGCTAACAGCATCACTTACCTATGCCTCCCAGTCACATGGTGCCAAGCACCCTTGGTAAGCTGGAGGGTGGCTGTCACCACTTTTATAGTCCACACCATAAGGCCAACCCAGAGCAGCTGGGGACCCTCCCAAGGCATAGCCCTCAACGGTGAACCCTTGAGGCTCTTCCCTGGCAACTCCCTTGAGGCATTACTTATAAGCTACCCCTTACTTAGACACAACCCAGAAAAAAAAAAATGACATAAACCCAGTAAGCGCACTCGAATCTTCATTTAAATGAACATTTTTTGATTCTTTGCACTTTTAAGGATTAAGAAGTTACTTCTGAAGTTAATGATACAATATAAACAGCTGCTTATCAGAAACATCTTCTGGAAATGTCTATGCATCTGTGTGTGTATATGTGTGTGCATGTTTGTGTGTGTGTACGTACATGTGTGAATGAGTGAGTGAATGTGCCAGTGTGTACAAACGTGTGCTGTGGTCAGGAAGCACTACCTTATTTGATTTTAGAAGAGGTCTCTCAGTGAACCTGGAGCTGTGATCTAGCTGGGCTGGCTGGATGGCAAGCCCCAGCAACACTCTATCTCTTGCTCCTCGTCCTGGCGCTGGGATTATGGGTGCACAGCACGTGGCTTTCCACGTGAGTGCTGGGGATCCGAACCCAGGTCCTCAGGCCTGTGTAGCGAACACTTTACCCACTGGGCCATCTCCCCCGCCCCGAGAAGATCTTAACAGGAGAGAAAGTGTCAAAAAACAAAACAGCTCATAATTGAGAGTTTTGCTCTAAGTCGTACTAGTGTGCTGCCAGGTCACTGTGACGCTGCTCGTGGAGCTCCTTCCTTCTCTTCAAGCACTCTGTATGTTCATGTAAAATGAAGCAACCGAAGTCTTCCAGTCTCCATATTTATGTGTACACATGCTCTTACATTTTTAATGTAAGAATGCACTATTTAAATGGAACACTCATTCATATGGATATATACATAAACTCTATGTATAGAATGTGAATGTTCGAGAACATATAAGTGACACCCGGATCGTGGGTGTGTCTGATGCTATCTGTGTTCTCTACTTATTTGGTTTTTGGCAAGATGGACATGGGGAGTACAAGTAGGACCCTAGATAAAGAACAGAACTGAAGAGACTATCTTAACTGAGTCTGGAAAGCTTGAAACAGGTGGCCAGCCCTCTGATGCATGGGCAAGATATTTATTCTAAGGGTGGGGACTAGAAGGAAAGGACTATTATCTCCAATGCAGTCTACTAAGTGCCTTTACTTATGACACTTTAAAGATAACACTTGCGGTTGCCTTTAGTTGGAACTCTGTCATTTACACTGAAGCGTTTATGTCTGGTATGAGCTGAATGACAGGCTCTTATCCAGACAAGCCTTAGAAGGTGGTTTGAGTTTGGGGATCTCCAAGTCAGAAAAAGAACTTAAGTCCTGATTACACTGTCAGCAACAATGACATGCGAGGTGAGGAGGGACCAACCTTGATTCAAGCCGTCCTGACAGGACGTTTGCCTGACTTCCATATTCTCCATAGTGTCTCCTTTTGAGACGTCTCCAGGAGATGTTCTCCTCTCAAAGATGTTGTTGTTGTTGTTAACTTGAGTCCCATTTTGCTTCAGTAGTCTGAACACCTCAGCCTCCAGATCTCTAATCTAGAAAACAAAAAGCCATTCGGAAATTGGAATGTCCCACATTCCTCTGGGCAGAGCCGCCTCACCTCATTGTGTAGTGGCTTTGAAAATCCTACTCACCCGGACTTGCAAGCCTTGGACCTCCACCAGATGAGCCTTCTCCACCTCCTCCAGCTTCTTCCTTTCCACTTCCTGTCTCTTGATGAAATCGAGCTCTCTTAAGAAGAAAATAGGTTCAATTGTAGACAACTTTCAGTAAGTGAGGAAGGGTGGACATTCTTACAGAAGTTCAGTGGGACAGACACCTAGAGAGCTATTGAAATAAATCTCAAGTATAGCTCATGGAGAAGTTTATGGCAACGAAAGAAAAGACACCTTTAATGACGTAATCACAAATACAGGAAGCGTTCTGATTTTTCTAAGTATGCTGTCATCTGGACTGCCTGATTGGGAGCAAGCACACTCATGTGGACAGGAGTGACTGTACTAATGACTCCGTGGGGAATTCAGTGGTGATAATTTCCTGTCAGTAGAAACGATTCTCTATTTCCAATACATAAGGCAACAGATGGAAGGAGATGGGGAGAGCTGAAAAGAGGTCGTTCCGGAGAGAAGGGGGGGGATATGACATGATCCCTCACACCTTCATGGGTAATACTGGAGAAGGGGAGGCCCCTCCATTCTGAGAGCTTCTGGTAGAATATGCAAATCTGGTCATTTCTTAGAGATCGATACCGTGTTGTTAGCAAAAAGTTACAATGGTAATGTATTGATTGAGTTCACAGTGACAAATAACTACTATCCTCTTTTAAACAACCCATTGTCACTATCTGTTTCAACTATTAAAATATTATTTCTAAGACAGGAAAGAAATGTGATGACTGTGACACACATATTTAGCCTCTAAGGCTTGTCACAGAAAACCACGAAAGGTACTTGGTCTAGTGAGTCAGAAATAACTCATGAAAATCTCTCTTGGCTCGCGCTCTAAGATTACATCCAGGCCCGAGAGGCGAGGGAAACCAGCTGTAGCTCAGAAGAGAGCTGCTGAAATTTCATACCAGGGTGTGCTCAGGGCCTGCTTCACTGTTGTGACCTGGGGCCCTGAGAGCAGAGGGTGAGAAACGCAGAGGCAGGGTGGGAGGTCTTGCAGTCCGTGTTTACACATCTACAGAGGCAGGGCCTGGGTCACTGATTCTAAGGGACCCAGACAGAGGCAGCCCCCCCCCCCCCCATGCTCCAGCTGCTCTTCTGCATGTAGCACCTCCAACTGTCAGCCCAGCATCCTGGACAGCTCCAGCTGCACGGCTGGTTTCTAAAACATAGAGAAGATTCCAAGAAGAACCAAGATGTGCAAGTGTTTGAATAGTTACTATCAAAAACCAAGGAGAAGTCAATTGATAACACCCGAAATAAATTCCCATGAGAAAAAGTTGCTCCCCTAATCTGTGGTGACTGTGGTCTGAAAAGGAAGGCCCAGCCTGACCTCTCACACCTCTAAACAGTATCAAGCACTGGGGATGTGCCTTCTTCAGACACACCCCTGTTCCAACTGCTATTTGGATCACTGGGGAACGCTTACTTTTGTTGAAAGTCCTTGATCAACTTCTTTGCTTTGTTGTATTTCTTTTCCAAGGCCTGGTACTGGCTTTGAGTCTCTTTGAGATGCTCATTCACGGTGTGACACAATGTCTGTGCCTCGATCCAGTAGCTCTCCAGCTTCAGCATTCTTTCTTTATTCTCCTCAATATTCTGTTGAAGTTGGGTTTTTTCTAGTTCCCACCTTACTTTCTCATTTTCTGCTGCTTGCAGCTGGAGAAAACAAATGTCAAGGCAAAAGTAATTTAGGTGTGTCTGCAGCAACTACTGCGTCACACTATTTCAGCTTGTCTTCAATACAGTACTATTGTTGGCTACGCTCAGCCATCAAAACAGCTCGAGATGAGCAGAGCAACAATGCTTTCCATATCCATAGTGGATAATATGGAAGGCTTGAAGAAAGGGAACGATTTGCTCGAGGTTCCCCATCTGATACGTGATGAGACACAAATCAGATTCCAAGTCCCATGAACTTTCTTTGAAATACTGCAAGCAGGAAAAGACGTCCAGCACATCACCGATGCAGTCCAATCTATGTCAACACGTGTCCTTTGAGAGCATGGTAAGTAAAATGCAGGACGATCAGTTGAAAATTAACTGAAAGGGAGTAGGGCTCGGCAAGGAGAGGAAGGGAGGGGCCAGTGGTTCTCAGCCTCCCTAAAGCTACGTCCTTTAACACAGTTCCTCATGTTGTGCTGACCACCCCACCAACTGAATTATTTTCATCACTACTTCATAGCTGCAATTTTGCTACTTTGTGAATTGTAAATACCTGTGTTTTCTGATGGTCTTGGGGGGACCCTGCGGATGGGTCATTCTGAGACCCAAGGGCTGAGAACCACTGCACTAATGGCTAAGAAGGGACTTAGTCATTCAGCTGACATTTGAATTATTTTCCTTCAAACTTAGACAAGTGGTCCAAGTTTCTGAGAGTCCAGGTTAGCATCTACACAAAGCACCCATGCTCTCACAGCTCAGCATCCTTGCCACACTTCCTGGGCATCGTTATCATCTGACAAGTGTGAGCCTCTCTTCCTGTGCTTTTAACCCTTTAGAGGATACCATTAGGTTCCCGATTTCAATGGACATGAATAGTCTGTCACTCAATATATTCCAGGGAGTGTTATAAATGGCTAGATCTTTATAAACCTTAATATACACAAAGCATAAAAAAAAAGGCTAAGTAAAGATGTAAATGGCTGTCTGATTCATCTAACTCTCTGCAATGGATCAGAAAGATAGCTTTGTGTTGTTATTGTCTCCAGGTACTCTTAGGAATATGGGGCGCGGTTTTCTCTAGGCCTCCCGGCTGAATTCGCGTGCAGGAGAGAGGAAACCCGTCTGGCTTTGCTGTTGACACATGTTCAGATGAGGTTTAAAGGGCACTAAGAACAGCCACCTGCCCGGCAAGCTGCTGCTCTGTCAGCCTTCTCTGCTTTCTTTAACTTACCAGTGTTCAAAATGAAAACATTCTGAAAGCACATAGCATTGAACAAATAGAAATACACATTCACACAAATATATACTTATATATCACAGGTATAGTTTGGTGAAAAAATTTTACTAAATACATTTGGACAAGAGGTTACAAAGTAAAAATTGCTTTGAAATGAGGAAATCTATTTAACATGGATAATAATCACAATTACATATTTTCAGGTGTCATATCATATACCAATGTAGGAAGAAAAATATAAAATAGCAATTTTTAGTCTTTTCTAAATTGAATCTTCATAGTCAAATTCCTATGCCTGTCTAGGAGAGCATTTGTAAACACAGGGGCCCCTTTTCCCTATTTGTAACCAACAGTTTCAGAAGATCAGCTTTTCAGCTTCAAGAAACAGTTCTCGGGTAGAAAGGACTCAGTTTTTACTGCTTCTGTAATTAAGTGACGTTTTATAGCAGCTGTTTATGTACCAGCCACTGCTAACTTAGAACTTAAGATTCACAGTGCGAGGCTGGCACCATGAAGGATGTATAAACCAGCTTTCACTACAGAGCTCCAGAGCATGCATATTAGTCGAGAAGACCGTTTAACCAAAGTAGCCCAGCTAATTCATCTCCATTTAAAGTGCATGGAAAATCCAAAATAAGCATTCACTGTGAATGAGAAAACAGATCACTAGCGGTGGGGAAAATTATTATCGCAATTTTTAAAAGATCATGGAAGTAATACAGCATAATTTGAAAGGAAGTGAAAAGTATTTTTAAATCTCTAAAAATATACATTTTTATAACTAAACACAATAGCTAGAAGTGTATTTTGTACAAGAATTTCGCAGTTTACTTTGATGTCTCATTTCATATAGATTAAAAATATAGTTTTTATTAATATATTTTCTCTTCAACAAATTTAAATAATGCAAACTATGTCTCAAGATTTCCAGTAGCCCCTGAATCTAAATCAGTTATACAGTATCAGAGAGTGAGTTTATAATATTTAATTCTTAGACATGGGAAGTTTTTTTCTAAAAAGCAATTAATGTGCCACATTAAAACAATACATTGCTTCTATAATTTAGCTAAAAATAAATCTATTTATTATAAGGTAAATGACATAGAGGAGATTTGATATACCAGCTTGTACTTAAAAAATTAGTACATAGTTCAGGTGCTTGAGCCATTAAAAATATTATTTTTTGAAGAAATTTCAGAGAGAATATGACTAAGTATAAATCTTTCAGCTATGAAGTGCTGTGTGGCGTTCACTGGGGTGTGTGCAGTGTGCTTGCTCCCCAGAAGATCTGTCTGTGCACTTAATGGTGGAAATGAAACTCTCATGTAAATATGCTCCCAAACGCACAGGAGCAAATCCCTTAGTCCTAGGCTTCGAACTCCTCAGAGTATCTGAAGTTTAAAGAGTACAATTCAAACACCACGTTGCGGTGCTTACCTTGGTCTTCAATTTTTGAATCTCTGCTTCTGTAACTGCATGTTTGATTTGCAACTGAAAATTGAAAAGAAAAAAATTCTCAACTAAGAGTGTTTCTATATTTTTAAAGACTCAGCAGCGAGAAGAATATCTTATGACACAATAAAAATCCTAGGAAACTGCTGCAGTGCAGCAGTTTGTAAATTACAATGTCTAGCGTGTAAAATGACTCACTGGGTGCAAACTAATTAAACACAGGGTTTATGGCTCACAGTCCCTAACATCCGATTAAGTTACCAGTTTAATTGCTCAGAGGCCAAAGAAAAGAAAACCCATTTCTTGGCCTCTGCGGCTCTTCCTTTATGATCTGAGCGTCCTGGGGCTGTTTCCTTGCTGAGGCTGGCCCATTGAACGGCTAGAGCCAGCCAGTCAACAGGCCGGGCATAGCGTGAAGATTCAGTCCCGCATCTTGCAGAAAGGTGGCGCTGTGGCTCTGTGAGTCGCTCTCACATCCCGCAGAGCAGCTCTGCTGCGGAGGAAGGAGGGGACGCAGCTGAGAGCTCCGGGTTTGTTTTTTGTTTTTCCTCCTTCTTCTTTTTAACCGCGGGAAAGGTACAGATTCAGATTTCTGCCCTCCAAAATATCTACTTGTATGGAGACTCCAACCTCAAAAAGCATTTTCTACAACATAATAGTCGCCTTTACCATCTGTTTGCTCGGCTCCCCTCCCCCCACGGTTTTCTTTGTAAGGAGGGGTCTTCAATGCGTCATTCATTTCTTTAAGGGCTAACCGGCCTCCCTGAACTTAAGGAAAACACTTTATAGGTTCACAATTTGCTCTCTGAAATCCCTGGGAAAGGAGGTTTTTGAAATTCCCAATTCTCCCCGCACCCTCATCATCTGCGTTTTGCCCACTGGAGGGTCTGGGAAGGGTCCTCTGCAACCAAACCCACGAAGTGATGCACCCAGCTTCTTCTGGTTACATTGTTTACTTCGAGTTGGTTTAACACAAATTTACTAAAGACACCCCCTCACTCCTCACCCCCCCTTTTTTGGTCCACAGTACTTTGGAATTAGAACTGTCCAGGAAGGACTATAATCTTATGCTATTACTACAACCAAGTAAATTTAATGCAGTTTACCAGTCAGCCAAGGAATGGCTGAGGGAAGGGCCTTGAATTACAACGGGAAGTAGGGAAGTAATCTTTGCAGTCCACAGCACCTTCTAAATGGCTTGCATGTCCTTGGCTTTACTGGCCTGCTGGGGCACGTGGAAGGATAATAAGGGAAAGAAGGGAGAATCAAAAGAGGTTGGACCAAACACCCAGGATGCAGCTGACTAACAGTCAGAGGTTGGAGTTGTCAGATCGGTGCACCAAGGTCCCCCTTAGTCTTTGTCAGGCCCTGCTAAGGACAGTGCAGGCAGCCCTGCTGCAGCCCAGCTGTGGAGGGTGACCTCAACACTGTTTTAACATGGGCTGAGGACCTCTTCCAGGGCTCATTTTCACTCTTTCTGAACTGAGATGCCCAGGGTTCTGCGTCTCTTGTTCATACCATTGGCCTAGTGGTCACCTCACCCAGCTGCCTTTAGCAGATGCCCAGAGTGTGAGTGCGCCAGACAAGGAAGCTACAGCAGGCTTTCTCAGAGAAATCATTGGCAGAGGCCATTTGTGCTCACCGGAAATCCTGGTCTAGATAGGTCTTCCAGATGCGACAATGCCAGGACACCCAGGCTCAGTACCCACAGGGCCCTCTAACTATAAGCCCACGGTGAGCACAGTGATCTAGAGCACAGTGATGTGCCTGAGTTGGGGAAGGAGGCTCAGAAAAGAGAATCAACCTGTCTAGTTGTAAAACAAATCAACACTGAATTAGATTAGAACTTGGATGTCTGGGTTCTGATCTTGTGCCATTTCTCTTTGAAAAAAAAAAAAAAAGATGAACTTTATAAACACCCATCGAGGAGGGGCTCTCTGCAAGATGGCTGTGAAGGCAAAATGTCCTCTCCAGTAAAGTCACGCTAACATCTCCTGCCAATGAGAACTAAAGCCATAAAAGGTCAAAAGTATTTAGACATTGAAGATATTCTTTATATACAACATGGAGACATATATACAACTACAAGGAATTGTTTTACAGATGTATTATATTGTTTGAGAATAAAGCAACTCCAAGGCCTAGATGATCACCCCCATCCATTATTGACAAGAATATCTACTGTTTGATGCTTAAAACATATTAATATGAAAAGTTAGGCTGCTCAAATTTATAGTGTTTGTTGTGTGCATGATATGCAGTAGGAATACTGCTTAACCTCTCCCCTACACTTTTCTCCCATGTAAAATGCACTTCCTCATAATTTATGACCACCCTTACTGGGACACTAAATGAGATCATCCATGTAAGGCATTTCAAGCACCATGGCTGAGTAAGAGTTATCAATAAAGTCAGCCGGGACCTGAGAAAACCACCTAAAGCATGCCAATGTGATTACCCCATCTCACTTCCCATTTAACAGTGTTAAATGACCCCTGCAATCCAACACTTAGACAGCAGAGGCAGGAGGATTGCTGCAAGTTCAAGGCCAGTCTGGTCTGCATAGCCAGTTCCAGGCCAATAAAAGCACCACAATGACATTCAGGAAAATGAAACAAAAGGCATTAAATGGCCTACCCAAAGCCACTCCTGAAAGGCAAGCACATCTGGTTCCATTCAAAGAGTCAGCTCCCTAGTGAGCACTGCATTATGGGTAAATGCCAGACACCATTTTCTTAAGGACTAGCTCCGGTAGAGTGAAGGCATATGGCCTTCCTCTTCGTGGAGCTTTAGACTTCTTTGCTCACAGCACTCGTGACCTTTGTCAGTTGCTTATCCACACCTCAGTTTTCCAGAAGAAAAAATAAAAGGACAAGATAGAAAGAGCTCCCAGCATCACCCACATACTTCCACATTTGGCAGCTAATGGGGGAAAAAATGGGCCAGGCATATTGGCCATGCTCAGAGTTCAGAAATTCCTATTGCAAGCACCTTCTCCTTATGGGGTACATACTAGGTTAGTACCCCAAACTGTGGACGAATCTAGGGAGAAATGTGAGTAGCCCAAACTGGTCTCTGGTTAGCTTGACACTCTATTCTCACCAAAATAGGTAAGAGAAGAGGGCTGACCACATTCGCAGTGAGGTAGCGCCAACCAGTGAGAGCTTAGTGTCAGGAGAGAGCAGTAGATCCTTCAGGTACAGAATGAACTGTGAAAATCTGGACATCATTCATACGATAAGCAACAACTACTGTACGGTTTCCTAGTTGACACAAGGCCTGAAATTACAGTTATGTGGGTATTTCAATCTTGGGTGCAATGGACCTTTCAAAGAATTTTTACGTATCCATCACTATTAACAGGAAAGGCATAAAAACATACAATTTGAACTTTTTCAGTTTACACAGAAAAACACTGTACAAAAGACTTTAAATAGTAGAGGTTGCCAAAGCCAGTCTGTAGAAATCTCAGCCCACAGTTCTGCTAATATGGGGTTATTTATTTACTTACTTACTTACTTACTTACTTATTTATTTATTTATTTATTTTTACATGGCAGGAGCCTGCCTGTTTTTCTTCAGCCTCCTATATTACTGCAAATGGCTCTGGGAGTGAGCAAATCAGATTCTGTTCAAATCATTGCTCAGATGAGAAAGAGGCTCAGAGACGTCACACTGCATCCTGGAGTGTCCCCTGGGAGAAAGAGGTGCAGGACAAACAACCCCAGGCCTGACTCCTCTACCTCTCCTGCCCATCAGCTTGCCTAGCTGGCTTCCCCGATGCAATTATTTCTCATTCAATCCTTATAAAAAGCATCTCAAGGTGCATGTGATCATCACTGCCCTAGATGAGGAATCATGGCTCTGACTGGGCGGTCTCTGAGGATCCTGACACAGAGTGTAAACGGGGGGGGGGGGGGGGGAGTGTTACCGGCATCCGGGGAGTAGGCTCAGTGGCCAAAGTGTTCACTGTGTGAGCATGAGGGCCTGAGCGAGGGGCGCCAGCACCCATGGGACAGACCAAGAGTTCTATGTACACGTGTAACTGGCTCCCAAGGTGAAACAAGAGGATCTTGGGGTTCACTGGCCAGCCAGCCTAGCCCTGACTGTGAACCCCAGATTCAGTGAGAATCCCTTTTTCAAACATTAAGGGGCAGAGTCACAGAGGAAGGCATCCATTGTTGACCTCTGACCTCCATATGGTGCATGAGTGAGCATCCCAATACACACAGAAAAGCTGGCCTCCATATGGTGCAAGAGTGAGCACCCCAATACGTACAGAAAAGAAACATTAAAAATAGGAAAGCAACTTAGAATATGTTCATTACTAAACTGATGTTTAGTTAGGGACACAACATGTCGGGTACATAGTCACCGAGGCCACATGAACGTGGCAGAGTCGACCTTTGAAGTATCTATGTATGACTTTCAGAGCTCATATTCTGCAGGTGATGTTGAAGGCATGCAGGGAGAATGTGCTCCTGGCTGGCTCCATTGGGCTTTTTCTCCTATAATTAGGCCAGAGGGTCTCGGGCTTTCTTATCTTCTGTATCCAAACTAGCCAAGACTGGCTGAAGACTCCTGTTCCACAGGGAAGACTGTGCTGTGCCAAGGGGTGAGGGAACTCAGCAGACGCACGTGACTAGAAGGCTGAGTGTCTTCCTCCTGGTGCCTCCCCAAAAGGTTGCAGGCCTATGTCCTACCTTGTGAGCTCAGGCTCTGCCATCTCCCCTGTCAGCTGCGACACAAATGTACAATTCCACAATGAGCAGGAAGTCTCACTTCACATTCTGTAGGTGTGCTGCTGTGTGGAGGCTGTTTATTGCTTTCAATAAGATGAACACGGAATCAAAATGGCCATATGTGACCACCAAAAATGGGCAGCTGCAGGCAGGAAGTTAATCAGCTTCAATGGCTGTACTCTATTTAGCCTGTGCAGGCATGGAAAATATTTTTTGAAGTGAAACACGTTATCTTTGCAGGCGAGATTTAAGAGTGTTCTGAAAGCAGACATTTTCTAATCAGATAAGCACAACATT